CCCAAACTACAAACCCCAGAAAGCGGAATCAGACCGAAAAAAACCACCTCCAGCGACCGGAAGCGGCCAGAACAATCTCCTTGCGCTCTATTCAGGTCCCAACCGCTTTCCCTTCCTGCGCCCCGACACGGACGAATTCCAAATAGCCTCTCCGCAGCCTTCCCTCCCGCCTCACGCCGCACAGCTTCCAACTAACAGCAAACCCTTCCACCTTGTAAAGAACACAAGGTTAAAAATACACGCTCCCCTAGCTATCTTCGGCCCCAAAACCTATCCTCTACAATTTCTTAACAAACATTTATTTCGGAACTATCATAACACAACAGATTTATAACAGTCAAACTTCCAGGCCAAATCACCATGCAAAACTGGAACCTCGTTCTATTAGGCACTGAAAATCCTTTTCTCCTGCGCTTCCATCTCTTCTCGAATGACTGAAGGAAGATCACAACCCACCTGAAAAGGAAGCCAACTAGCAAAATTACAAACCTCACACTACTTGAACTGAGTCTAATATATTTTTCACGAAAATATGTTACCGCGTCGAGATAACTATTTGAAACCCACAATTGCTATTAGAAAATGCAAGAAACGAGCTTCTTAGCTGTCAGAAAAAAAAACACCAACCGCAAAATATAGTTGAAACTAAAATTCCTCCATCCCCAATAAAAATTCCAGCCAGGACTTCCCTTTAAAATTCATTTACCATCAAAGAACACCTGAGCGAAGGCAATATTAAAAAAAAGGCCTCACCTGTTCCTCAACAAATTTGCGAACTTCTTTGACGTCTGCTTTCCAGTAATCCAAAGGGACGCTCAGTAATTCATCAATTTTAGGAACATTCGTACCCGCCAAATTCAAAGACTCTTTCGTCGGCACTACTCCAACTGGTGTGCTGACTCCGATATTCTGCTCACCATTCAACCTCCGAGTAATCCATTCGATCACGCGGATGTTGTCACCGTACCCTGGCCACAAGAAGTTACCCTGACTGTCTCGTCGGAACCAGTTCACATGATAAATCCGTGGCATCTGGAAGTATAAAGAAGAAATGGTGTATGCACGTACAGCTGGGCACCATAATCTCAACCTACCTTACGATTGTCCTTCTTCATATTAACCCAATGCTGCAAATAACTTCCGAAATTATAACCCATAAACGGCCGCATAGCCATAGGGTCGTGCATTACTTTCTTTCCAGTATGTTCCGCTGCAGCAGTCGGCTCAGATTTCATGCACAAACCCGTGAAAATCCCGTGGTTCCACGAAAATGTTTCAAAAACAAGAGGAACGCCTTGAGGCCTGTAAAATCCCAAACTCCCTTCTTTTAAGCAATGTACTTAAAGCACTACAACGGCAAGTCGCCAATACTTTCAAAAACTCTTAGGAATTGCAAAGAAGCAGAAGGTTACCTGATATACTTCATGAAAGTCCTCCCAATATAATACTGAAATGGTTATAATAAGTCAGCAAGAAAACCTAACCTTCGGCCACCAAATATGATGGCATCTATTGGCACACCTTCTGGTGACTCCCACTTAGGGTGAATAATGGGGCACTGTGCCGCTGGCGCAGTAAATCGCGAATTGGGGTGAGCAGCAGGAGTTGGGTCGCCAATATGCCACGGATTACCTAACCAATCTTTCATATCTATCTTTTTATCCTAAAAAACCAATCCCTACATAGGCAAACACCCCGCCACACCAATTCTAAAACTGCAGAAATAGAAGCAACCTCTATCTCGTCTTCCAAGCCTTCCCAAAAATACTCCCCTTTTGCAGTTTCCGCAACATTTGTAAAGATACTGTTCTTCTGAAAGGTAGCAATAGCCACAGGATTCGTCTTTTGAGCAGTCCCTGGAGCGACTCCGAAAAAGCCATACTCTGGATTGATTGCATGTAATTTCCCATCAGCATTAAAACGCATCCAAGCAATATCGTCCCCTTAAAAACACAAACTCCCAGACACATTAGAGGGCTTGTCCTTAAATTACAGAAAAAAACATCACAATACTCGTAAAAATCCACCAAAAGGCATTTTTCATCTCTTCATATGACTGGAAAAGTGAAGCAAAAGTGTTCACTTACCAACACAACGAACTTTCCAACCAGGAATTGTTGGTTCCAACATTGCTAAATTGGTTTTACCACAAGCTGATGGAAACGCCGCAGCTATAAAATACTCTTTCCCCGAAGGACTTGTTACACCTACAATGCAAGTTCTTTTCATCCCGGCTGTCGACTATCTGATAATCAAGTATCAAGAGTATACGTCCACCATACCCATAATTAACATATGTTCAGCCATCCATCCTTCATCGTGTGCTATATTTGCAGCGATCCGAAGCGCAAAGCATTTCTTGCCCAGCAGAGAGTTCCCACCATACCCCGAGCCAAATGACCATATCTCACGATAAGCCGGTCGATGTGCAACCAGTACGCGCTCTGGATTACAAGGCCAGTGGTTAATGACTGCTCCTGAAACGCTGTTCTCGTCTAACATCTATAATAATTTGGAAGACAGAACTCTAAAACTAACGTTTCACTGGCCTCGGAAGACCAACAGAATGGATACACCGAACAAAATCGTTGTCCCTTAGCACATGTAGCACGTCAGGAGAAACCCGCGTCATGATCCGCATACATAGCACAACGTAGTTCGAATCAGTCAACTAAAAAAGTTATTGAAGAAACCACTTTGGAAGTTAGTTACTGTGTCCGTAGATATACCACAACTCCATACGCAAGCAACTCTGTCATTTGAACCTTTAACACTCGCAACGTGGCCCAATTAAACAAAGTAATCTATTTTGGCTATTTTGCGCTTCTCTCTGAAAGTCAAAGTATGTTCAGACCCAAAATCAAGCTCGAAATTCAGAGGTCACATGTTCGAAGTTCAGGACACCAGTATTCTAGCATTATTTGAATGACGCAGAACAATCGCCCTACGAAAGGTGAATCAAAATAACTGGGTCCACTGCAAGTAATTTTAAACTTCATGCTCCATTCTTTACACAAAATAAGATCTGAAACTCTAACCTGGATTCCTATCTTTGACAATGGGCCGCCAACAGGACCCATTGAGAACGGTATCACAAACATAATACGTCCTGCAAACCATCAACTACAAAAGTTGTCTATATGCATCACCCAATGGCTAGCACACAAGCACCATACCTTTCATACAACCAGGGAACCGACTATCCAATTCTTTTTCGAACGTCTTCTCATCCATCCAGTGACCCATGGCAGGCTCAACGCCCTCAGCAACATGACATTCAGTTTGGAATCTATTTGGTGTAACCATCCACGTCTTCCCTTCTACCCGTGCTACATCCTAAAATAAATAAAAAATTCCACCAGTCGACATGACATAAAAGGCGCCGAAGTCAGTGATACTCTAAAAATGAATAAGTACCTTAGGGTCCGTTCTGCAAATATAGTTGTTTTCATACGCACTCAACTTAGACATCATGCCTCGTTCAATACATTTATCAATCAATCCCTCAGCCTCTTCCTCCGACCCGTCACAAATAAAAATTGCTCTCGGATGCATCAACTTGGCCTTCTCCACAACAAAACGCTGAACTTTGCGGGGTAAAGTTACAAAATCGCCCTGAAGTATAAAAAAAAAATAAGTAACCTAAATCACTTTGCCACAAGCTTTTTAATGCAACCATTTTTTAAGGAGAAACCTAAGAAACCGTTTAAGGAGAAACCTGACTCTTCTACAGCAATTCTAATCATCACACCTTGATTACTGGAATTTTCTCGACTTGCTGGATGACAACTTCGCTAATAGCGAAGAAATCGTCGTCTTTCACATGTTCCAAGGAGAGGCTATGGTGTTCACCCACATTCATTGTCGATTTTCCACTCAGTCGACGAGCCGATGTTACGCTGAAGAACACTAACTGACATCACAAAGAAATATGCTTTAAACATCAATTAAACAAAAACCCGTCACAATCCACTGAGGCAACTTCTAACCTAGAAGAATGTAAGTAATGTTCATGTATCCACGGCAGCAGTATGCCCGATGAGTTAAAATAATAGTTAAAAGAATAAGGTACCTCTAACAGTGAACGAGGTAAAGAATACTTGTAACCGCTGCAGTAACATCTGGCAACGTGGAAAACCCTATTGCTACACCTAGACTTCAGTAATAACTGAATTGGAAATACACCACACCCAGGGATCATAACACCAATAGAAACCCTTTTCTCTCACTCACGAAATATGCCAAACTAAGACCCATTTGCGTTATCATTCATTATATATTACCCACTGAAACCAAGATGATGGAATGTCAAGGTCAAAATGACCAAACAAGTCGCGTAGCAGATCATAGAACACAGAATAATATGCACTTCTTGAGCAAATAGTCAAAGGCCAGCAAAAGCCAAGACTACCTTGAAGCAATTTGGCAGTCATTAGTGGTGCCGTTAGCAATTCTTAAAGCTACAGTATCGTTGAAGCCGTTAGCTCTATAAGAGTGACAAACCACTTTGTCTACTTTTTGTAGACAGAAAGGTATCTTAACGATCTACTTCTATGCGGATGTATGTGAAAGTAAACTTTGAAACTTGGCGACAGTTTTAGTGGCCCAGTTAAAAGACCTGTTGGCCAACTCATACAAATCAGTATCGTACACGAAAAATATTTGGGTTTTTTTTTTTTTGCTTGAAAGGTACAGTAATTTGCTTTTCATATTTTATGAATTGTTTCTTTATATCGGGGCAAGCATCTGATCGTCAACTGGAAAACAAGATTGAGTGAAGTCGGAACGAATACCAAAAAGTGTTACATCTGAAATATAATAGTTTATTGCCTTATTCGGCATTAAACTTCTTCAAGGCATCCTTTCCAAGTATTTGCTTGGAGAGTTTGTTAAAAATGTTTTGCATAAACTACCCATGGATCCTGCAAGAAGAAGTGAAGATTTCATGCCGATCTCCATCTGAACTATGTTTCAGCACACAAAGAAGTCTTACTGCTGGACTATTTATAAACGAGCGGAAAACGACCTAGTGTTCAGCTAAAGATTGTTTCAAGTAAAACTTATTGGTCCTGAAACATTTATCTTTAACGTTCTAGACTGCTGTTTGCCGCAATAGGTCTAAACCTTTTTTGAGTTGTAAATTTTAATTTTTTTTTTGCTCTAACTTGTCGCTTTACTTTAGACATGAAAATTGCAAAAATTGCACGAAAATTGGGCTTACAACAGGTTTGCTGCATTCCTAACAGCAAAACCTATCTGATTCGTTAACGATACTTCTCTTATGACTTGGATTCCGCTTTGCAGCTTAATGAGGGATGTTACGAAGTGGTTTAATTGTTAGAATCACATCTTAGCACTAAACTTTTCTTAGAGGATGAGAGGGAGATATATAAACATACCGCCGAAAAGACGAGTAAATAATTAACCGATGGGGTAACGCTTAGCAGCTCTGCGAATGAAAAACTGAGGAAAAATATGGACAGAAAGAGTACTGTAAATAAAAAAAAGTGGTTTTCGACGTTTCTTGTGTAATAACACTATATACGTTCTTTACACTCGCTATTTCAAACTGATAACGCTCGAAGCACATCATTAGGAGGGTAATCAGCATAAATCGTAGGGGAAGCCGTTGTTGTAAATGTACGGCGTGAGCGTAGAACTATATGTTTCGTTTCATTGTACAGAATGCTGCTGTTGCTCCTAATTTCACTTAGATACCGTTATTTAAAAACAAATCACCTTTCGAATAAGTGCTAGGGAGTTTTTTTTTTCTTTTTTTTTTGATAAATAATCTTTTGAAAAGATAGAACTGTTGTTACTGGTTCCCCATAGTCATGTTGATTGACGAACGTGCCTGTTTAACTGGAATTTTTTCTTAATAGCGGACTTCAACTAGCTGTCAAAGCGGTCCCATGCCTCGAGCTTAATCGTTTGAAGGTTAATTACAAGTAGCTGAAAAAAATCTTCAAAATGTACAGGTATGCCTTCTTTCATAACACTTAACTTCACTGTCAAAATGGCTTCAAAATTATCAGGCGAATTGACAAAGGAATAACGACTCATCCAGAACCGTTCCACCCAGCAGTTGCTAAATCGGTAGCAGTCTCAACAACGTACAGTAGGTAAGCCTCGCAACTTCGTGAATGGTCATCTGGAAATTCTGCATAAGCCAGTGGAGATGACGCGCGACAACACTAAAAAACGTTGAGGATGTTCATGCTCGTTCCAAGACATAGCGTAGCGGTCACGAATCGAGTAATTCTAGCGGTCCTAACGGATTTAGTGTAATGCTTGTTTAGCTGGTAAGTATAAGACTTCTACTCTGTCCACAGACAAAGGTAATTTAAGAGTCACTGGAGACCAATAAAAGTATTTTTGGCGAATTTTTTAGCGGATAAGTGGGGAAACAGGAAACTATCTCTGTTCCCTTTGACATTCTTTCTACCTCTACCCCTCCCTACCCATTAGAACATTTATTGCAGACTAACAACCAATGAGTAGTCTTGAGGAACTGATAAAAGCGTGTAAATATCGCTAAAACTGGAACTTTCTTTGCACACTTACATTTATGGCGCTCTGGCGAAGAATTAATGTTCACTCCTTTTGGAGTTTGAGCGCTCTACATTCCCCCCCTCTTTCTTTCTGAGCTCTTCCACATCTAAACCTCACACGATAAACCAGCCTCAACTTCCATACTCAGAAATTTTAGTCTGTTGTTTAAAAGACGTAATATCTTCGTGTTTTCTCAGTCTTTTACTCTCAGCAAAGCTATGACAGTCGTTTGTCTCTTTCCCTCCCTTCAATCTCTTTTTTTTTGTGTAATACACCAGCAAATACCTTTTTTTATTGCACTGTAAACGATAAACGATTTAACAACAAAACTGATCTCAGTCATAAGGCAACATCAACAATACGAGATGTGAAATGCATGAGGTGCTAAATGAAAAAGACATCAATATCATAATGTTCCATACTCCGGGCGTGAACCCCGTCTTCCTACTTTGTGAACAAAGATAAGTGAAGCGAAAGTGTTACCTCCCACTAAATAACATTCGGCAAGATAAAGCCAAAAAAACCCAAATAGAACAAATTAAATCATAAACTGGGCAATTTCTGCACAGGAACTAAATTCTGGATCAAGGAAAAAACAGGTCATCCAAACTGTACCTAGCTCTTCCTTCTTAATGAACCCGTAAACAAACCAGCTGACGGCAACCACTTGGTGGCTGAAGAAGTTGCCCAAGATTCCATCGCTATAACACGGTGTACCTGAGTAAACGGCAAAAAAATACAATGTTTGGCAAAAAACCTAGGAAATTTCCTTTAAAGAAAAAAAACTAGCAATTATAATAATGATGATAACACTCATGAGCGAAGAAAGGAAAAAAGAAACTAAACTTATCTAATAAATAAGCAGTATAAGCATCCAGCAAAATAAAAATCAAAGGTTTAAGAAAGACCTCAAGGGCAGTGCAAAAACAATGAGAACAAGCAAACATTAAAATTCATCTTCTCCCACACTTTCTCCATTAAAAAGAACTAAGACGTTTCAACATGTCCTTATTTTCATGAAATCAGATAAAAATATAACGTATAAAAACAAACAAATACATCAGAAAACTCACTTCTCGAGCTAAATGAAAAAAGTAGCTTCCTATCTGCAAAGTTCACAAATAAAAACTTGGACATAACCATCAAAACAGTTCAATAATACTATCAATAACAATAACAATAAAAATAATCGTTCCTAAGTAAATATTTTAGTTGATGATCAAATTTTAGAGTAGAAAACAACTAAAAATGAAACTGTTTTCGGTATATACAAGCATTACATTGAACACACACAACTGTCACTCTGCCATTCACGTTCACGAGTTCTTCAAGAACCTTACTAGTTTGGGAGAGGAGAGGTACTTTAGATTTGGTTCGCGTCTTCGATAAGGACCATGCTGCAAAAAGACAATAAAAATCCAAATTCCTCTGCCACGATTCATAAAGTCTATTACTATATGCTTAGAACTTTCCTTGAAATGATTTTAAAAATCTTCCCCAATCCTTGGTTCCAGGACCTAAACATGCTATAAAGCAAATAAATCAAATTCAGTATCACGATTTGACATACTCCACTCTGTCGCTCATCAATATTCATAACAGCCTAAACCTTCAAAATATCTATTTCTTTTTAGAAACAAAAAGACCAGAACCAGAGTCGCATCGCTTCCTTCCTTATTCCCCCCCCCCCTCCTCCCTCTTTACTGTAAAATATTTTTATCACTTCAGTCCGCTATTTCTCAAGATCGCCAGCTTTATTGCAAGCGATTTCCCAATGAACTTCAGCAGTTTTAAAATGTTTCGCCGTGCAAATAAAGTCAGAAATTCCTAACAAGGGACTTCTAAAAAGAAATTTTAAAGTTTTGCATTGAAAGATCTTCACTTCCGAAATCCACTGCTATTCTCACTAATCTAAAACCGCTGTTGAACTCAAAATGACTGAGACGTTAGGCATACATGCACAATAAAAAACGACACAACAATTACGATATGAATAATATACCCACACTCGAACCAGCCGAAAGATCTATGAAGCAACAGTGATGGAGCAGGAACTATGAAACAGAGTGAGAAAGATGGAAATCCCATTAAATTTTAGGAAGAGTACAGAACAAGCTAAGTTCCCAACTTACTAAACTACTTTGAGGCGTGAAGCACAGCACTAATAAAAACAAGAACAAGAACTATTAAGATCCTCAATGGTGTCTGCAAAAATACGGTAGGTAAGACGAAATTTTAACTAAAGACAATCGAAAACTTGAGATGTTTGTTGTGCCTGCAATTTCAAATAGCTCAAAATCATAATTACTCATATCTTGCTCAAAAAATAGAAGAATGCGACTCAAGTATCATGATAATCCATATTATATATATAATAAATGTGGGGTATCAAGTAACAAACGAAAGTATTTGCCCTAAAAAAATTGGCACTGATACCTTCGGGCGTTCTTCGCCTGCGTAGCTACTACTTCTTTCTTCTCTTTCTTTACTTTCACGTATTTTTTTGAAGAGGTCCTGAAAAAAAATATAAAAAAATGCTATCCTTGAATTAGAAAGGCGAGAACGCTATGGATGGGTGATGTGATCATAACCGAACTTCTACAGGGAGCATACTTCGTTATCTGAATTCGTGTCGGCCGCAGACAGTTTAGCAGCTGAGGAGCTCCTCAATGAAAAAACTTTTGGACCCGCAATTGGTGGAGCTTTCAACCACCGAGGTTCCTTACGTGAACTCATTGTTGCTTTCTGCCGTTGTCGCGTACTAAAAATAAAAACAAGTCGCTACCAAGCGTTGTAAAAATATGCAAAAATTAAAAATAAAATGAAAACAAAACAGGTGATTGCCATTACCTATAAACAATGTGACAGACGTCTTTTTCAGGATCATAATCCTTGTCCTTTAAACGCATTATCAAGTCATAAACCTCGTCAGGATCTAACGCTTCTCTCTCATGAAACGCAGCGAGATGAAGCGTCCATGCTGTTGTCAAATTTTTTGCAATAATATCTTGACGGTGCTTTTGCAAAAAAAGCCGCTGAAAAGATTAAAAAATATCCTGCGCACTGACAAACAATCAAATGCCACATCAAAGCTTTATTTTCAACAAGTCTAAAGTAAAGCCTACTGTTTGAAAATTTTGGAACAAAAGAAGTTACTTAAAAAACTGTTCTTACGCATGTTCTGTACAGATGGCATCTACCAAACGGTTTATGATCCAAATCAAGCAGGAATATGTTCCACAAAATTAAAAAATCCTTTTCCAGACGTGAAAGGTCCAAAAAGTCCTCAATTTGCTGAAAGAAAAAAAACTTATTAAAAGTTCGCCAATTCTACAAGACCATGCTGAACAGGAGCAAAATACACTACTTACTCTTATAATATACATCCGAAGCCACTCTTGGTCTGTCTGTTTCGTGGTCAACCTTGAAGAATCCATTAAAGGATGACGACTTCGAAAACCAAAGTAAGCACTGGAAGATAATTTAATTATTGTTGGAGGTGAAAAATGTAACTCTAGTTTTCACGAAGCAAATTCTGCGATTATTGAGCAAATATAACAGTAACCTGCCTTAAACGTAATGCTAGGATATCTAGACAACAGTGCACTTACGAATTTATGCCTTTCATAGCTCGCTTTTCCCGATCACCTTTTGTAAAGAAAATACTTAAATCTCTTCTCGTCTTACGCAATGCTCTCGCTTCGTCTCTACAATTGGAACATTGCGCAAAATATTTTGATTTTGAAAGGAGTCAGATAAGTACGTGTTGCCAAACTTACTTTAACACTAAACACGTCAAGCGATCATTAGGGACACATCGCTGAGATACGTTGGGGTCCCGAAAATTACGATACTGCCGAGAAACAGAGCCTTCGTAGCTACCGTCAAAGTCTTCCCTAAGAAATACATCAATGCACACTGGAGCGGCTCGATTAATAGCTGCTGTTTTTCTTGAATCACCCTAAATTAAAAAAAGAAAAAGCTATTTAATTTCCAAAACAACAAAAAAGAAAAAAATAATAATAAAAATTACAGCCCAACAAATAAAAATTTACCCTGTAAACAATGTCTAATCGAGGATAACTGGTCCGCATATGCAGAAGCAGGGCAAACATATCGGGGAACGTTCCAAGACAGAAAAAACACTTGTTCGGAGGTGCTATGCAGCGAGTAACAACACCACTGCTATCAACCTGTGTTGCGTTCGACTTATCAGATGAGGAAGAAGTTACCTAAATTGAATTAAATCGAAGACTGAAATACACTATGTTCCCGTCTTTTTCTTTTCAGTTAAAACATCTTCCTTAAAGCTGTCAAAAAGCATCAAGGAATTTATTTTAAGTGCTGCCGTAGCGAAAAAACCTCAAACATGAAACATCAAGTTTATAAAACAGCAAAGACTTACGTCTTCTCGATATACTGCTTTTTTTGGACTCGGCATGAAAAACTTCTCAAAGCTTCCCATAGCACCGCAGTTGTCGATGGTTTCCACCAAAGAGTACTCCTGTACTGAATCATCTGATAGTAGTTCATCAAGTGGAAAACCAACTGCCATAGCATCTAAACGTGACGGGTGCTGACGTGATTTTCCTTTGTATCCATTAATAATTTTAGCAGATGGTTTCAAAGATTTGGAAGTCTCTCGTGGAACTGGTTGAGTTGGAGAACAAAATACGCCATTGTATCGCTTGAGTTCCTTAAGCGGTGAAACTGCTTCAGCTTCCCTCAAGGGAGAAGAGAACTCTAAACCAGTTTGAATCAAAATTAATCGGGAATCTTGAAAAATTTAAGAACTTCAGCAAACGTTGTTTCTTGACTTTATTTAACCATCTTTTTCAAGACATAAGAAGAGGTTAGTCTCTTATTTGAAAAAATTGACAAAAAAAAATCCGCACTTTTAACGGGAGTCTTGAAGCCATTTACTATATTTTCTGACAAATCTTTCGTTTCAGCACATGAAGCCCAATTGGGCGGCATATCAGAAATACGACGGAAAACCGATTCGGGAAAACAGGTATCGGGCTCATCGCTATACCGCGTTATGAATCGGTAACTGAAAACCACAAAATTTAAATGGCGGCGAAGTATATTCGCAGCCAACAAGCTGTTTTAAAGTAACAAGCTCATCGATATCTTAAATCTATTCAATACAGAAAACTTCTACGTAAACATACCATATTTCTTTTGGAAACTGCAGTGAAAGCTCACGCTTAAACCGTGCCTTCAAAAAGGACTGAAAACTCTGCAAATAAGCTGAAATAAGCAAAAAAAACTTTTTAAACAATCAAGTTGTCAAAAAATTACTACACCTGATTACCTGTTTCGTAACAGACTTCAGTTAAAAAACTGGAGACTGATAGACGGAAATTTTTCGAGGTAAAATTTATAGTAAACAAGCCAATAGTGTTCGCGTCAGCTGTCAAAAATCAGAAACATATACAACTTTTCAAGACTACAAAATATCCAAAAAAATTACATCTTCACAAGGAGTCGGAGGATTAACTTCTGGCTGGGTTCCGCCGGAATGAGGCCTGCTGCGTGTAGAGCAAACAGATACCGAGCGACCTATGAAGGAGCTAACGGTGAATTCAGTCTTATGTAACTAGTAAGATAAAGAACAAAGAAAGTAACAAACTAGTAGAACAGCTTCTAGTTTCCTCATCTTCTTCCGAAGAGCTTGATTCTTCTCCAGCATCCGAAGCAACAATTATTTTTACAAACGGACCAGTATGGTTCTTCTAAAATAAACCCTATAGAAGAATTATCAGAAGCTATAATTAAGATATACTCCACAAATTAAGTGTCGTATTGTAACTCTGAAACGAACAAAAAATTTGCCTGGGATTGTTTTCTTACAAGGAAGATTCAAGGAATACAACCATAACATTACAAACCTTCCCCAAATCTAACAATCGCTTTGCATTTGAACCATCGCGACCAAGGACGTTTTTTGATCCCAACCAATCGCTTGGTCTAGAAAATTATTTTTAAAAATACAGGATAATTATACAAACAGAACATCGAGATGCATGGAATGTTCAACTTTGGATTTATTTCATTTACAACTGATGAAGAAAAAAAACGGTAAAATAAATAGACTTCTATAAAAAAATACTGACTTTGAACTAACTGAAAGATATAAAATTATTTCCGATAAACTAACACTAAATTTATACTGCCATCTCCGTAAATGACTCCATTTCCTGATGTTCCTGTAGTGACTGACGCAACGCATCTTGCACCATACATAACCAAAGCATCATCACTTGATGATGAAGGTGACATCGTTTTATTAGCACTACTTCTTCTCGTCATCTGAATGTTATCCTACTAATAAAGTCCCATAAATTTAAGAAAAAGGTAAAACTTTAATAATAACTGCAAAGGGAATAGAACCTTTATTTCAGCAGTTTCAGCTTGTCTCGAGGGAACACAACGAAGTGTTCTTCCGCCAGTTATTTTAGCATTTTCCTCCTCCGAAAAAGTCACTCGTAATATCACATAGTCATTTCTGTTTAAACATATACACATAAAAGCAACTCGTGTAAAAACGTGAATAAAGCTCAAAAGCAACTCCAAATCGACCATTATTTCCCATACCGTTTCTTCTGTCTGGGTCCCAAAGTTCCAATGCCTCTAGGAAGATCGATGCCAATCGGTTTGGTCCGCTTCACATTTACTTGCATAAAAGTGGTTGCGCCTTGAAGACGACGCTAAAAAGATCCTTATTTCAGAACAAAATAAAGGCTTTTCTCTTTAACCATCTATCCAATTAATTAAATACAACAATCATGTGAAACTGTCTACTCACTATTTCTCCAAAAACATCATCAATCTCAGAAGCAGTGTGAACTGTTATTTTAGCGCGCCTACTACCTGAAAAATTCCAACTCTGATTCACAGAAAAAAGCCAAAAAAATGGTTAATCCTTATCGATAACTTAATCACTGCGCGACTGCTTGAGCATTCAGAAGGCCCAAACAAAAGTCCACAGCACATAAACCTTCGAAGAAATTTTACAAGAAAAAAGATTGAAATGAAGTTAAATGAGCCAAATATAAGATGTAGAAATACTTGCACACTCAGTGATATCATCCTTCTGAACACTCCGATCAGAAAAAAAAACATGAATCAAGAAACTCGCAAAAAGACATTGTAGATCTAATTGACTATTTCATTTTGAATTTCCACTTGTTGTTTTACCAAGCGTTGAGGATCATAGCTATTACCAATTAACACAACAACTTGTAAAGACCATAAACCAATTTACCAGGTAAATCTTTATTTCGAACATCGATAAACTTCATCACAGCAGTCGGTTCAGAAAAACCCATGCCCTTCTCTGGACTCTGGACAGGAGTAACAAATGGAGATTTACCTTCTCCATCACTGCGAGTAATAAAAGAACTAAGTATTCTGTCTGACGGGCTCCCAAAAAAACACTAAAAAATGTAATATTTACATTTTTTGACTGTAAAATTTTGAAAAAGTACGACATACTTAGAAGTCAAGCAAAGCTTTTTTTAATAATATACCTTCTTCTTTCTCTCCCGATAGATACGATCAACTACAGATAAAAGATTGTCAAACTTATGCTGGAAAGTTCTTACAGGAAACCGTTTTCTTCTGCAAGTAGGTCCAAGAGTGGCAACTCCGGTTTTATAATCTGGTTCACAAGCCTTAAACAGAAAAGTTTGAAAAACTTAAAAGGCAAGTGGTCACGAAAAAAACTTAAACTGTAATAACAACAAGGAACGTAAAGACAGAGATTATTTGAAATATCATATGACTAAACAAGTATTTTCAAAAGCCCTTGAAAATAGATAAAGTTTAGTAAAGTTAAGAAGAAAAAGTAGACTAGTTAAAAGAATAACCTTTGGTCTCATATAAACAAGGTTCCGTTTCAAAAACAATCGGCTTCTAGATGACGAGTCAAAAGCGGAATTTTTTGTGTTCAGATATCGATAGAGTCGAATGGCCCCTGAATTTTGATTTTATTTTTGCAAAGCAAAAGCAATAATTAATGACTTAATGAATCCCCACTAAATGTACAAGTGAAAAACCTTTGCTACTAACATTTAAACTGCCGTTCCTTCGAAGTGACTATATATGCTAAAGCAATCATAGATGGGCTACTAAGAGTTCCATATTGGTTAGATCTCTCTCCCTATAAAATCTATTTTTATAAACCTTTAATTATTGTATTGAAGCATGAAAAGAAGAAAAAAAAAGTAAAAACTTACAGATACCGTCTCCCCTTCAATACAAGGCTTTTTAAACACAGGTTGACCACCAGCACTTAAAGATGACTGACAGCGACGCTTTCGAGCATTATTTGCTGACTCTAAGAAAAACCACTAATAACTGTGTACATTGGTTGTTGTCAGATATGAAGAAGCAACATTATAACCATAAAAATTCTATTTCCATTAGTTGTAGTTTTGGGTAAATCAAAAGCGAAGTTCTTGTTGAACGAACTGAGATGCACGTAACACCTGTAATATCCTCATTGGTGTCAACTTCACTAGAACTATCTCCAGAATGTATACCACGAATACGACCGTTTCGAAGTGAAGCCATAGAATTGTCATTCAGTTTAGACGGCCTTAAACAAAAATGTTTAATACTTACAGAAATTGAGCATGTACTAAAAAGTTATCGTTTGAAACCTCTAAGTCAACGGGTTGCCGAATAAACCTAATAACTAGATTACTACCAATAAAATTTCGAAGAAGTTCAATAAAGAACTTTGATTACAAAATTTTTGAAAACAAGAACTAGCACTTAGCAACAAGCTAACTCGAGCTTCAAAAAAAGAGTAGTAACTAATATCGAGCCACAAAACGAGACAGTTTTAAAACGGTAAGTAGTTTGGTAAATGAAGGATCTTAGACGCGAAAAATCTAATAAAGTCCAAGGATGAAACGGGTGCATAGTATGGTCACAAGAAGTAAAAGCTTTAGGCATGCAACCAAAAACACAGTGCTCCATACAAAAAAAAAAAA